ACTCACCAGGTAGCTATACATGCCCTCCATAGTCATAATGGCATCGTTCTGCTTCAGCTCAAACGCTATGGGTTTGTGCAAGGGCGTGCTGTCAAAACTGTAGAGCCTGTGCACATTCAACCTGGTGAAATCATCGTCCTTCCTCAATTTGCCTCACAAGAAGGCCTGGAGCTACAACTTTTGCGATTCCGCGTAGGGTATGTAATATTCCACCAGGGCCAGACCCCCTACTCGGGACACTACCAAGTTGCATTGAGTGAGAAACGCGGACAAGCCGCAACAGCTCCCTGGCAGTTTGCCATCTGCAATGACGGTTGCGTGCCCAGACGCGCAGGGCCCGCTGACTTGCAGAACCTTATGGCTAATTGCTATTTAGTTGGGTTAGTTAGGGTTAGCCCTGATGACCCATAGCCTCTCTGCGCATCTGTTAACGTACCGTCGACAACCTACGGAGTCGACCACATCTCGGCCTGAGCCGCGCAAACACTTTTGCCTGCAGTATCTGTTGTTTTGTCATTCCGTTCAATTGGATCCACGTTGTCTATGTGATGCCGCGTTATCGTGCAACAGCTGGCTCGAAGCTCTTGGGCAGTTGCCTTCGGGTCCTGTGTCAGCCACTCAGCATGCTGCACTCGTCGATCTTGTGCCCTGTCATGTGCTGCTCCAGCGCTGCTTTTGTCTCAATGCCAGGTAGCACCCTCTCCCCGACCCCAGTATGCCTAGTCAAGTGCCACTGCCGGCACACATGTCTGAAGTGGCACTGGAGGAAAAGCTGCTCCTCAATGCATATCGCCAGTTGCTAAGTGCGTCGATCGAAGATGCATGCCCGCCGGCGTTATCCCTCGCGTCCAGAAATGATCTGATTTCACACGCGAGCAAGCACTTGAAGGAAGATGATTGGGCGACTTTCCAGGCATATGCCGATGAGCTGGCCAGTCGTTTCTGCAGCCATGTCATTGTTGACTTCCCGCCCTCTCTGCCGTGTGACACCCTGACAACCATGGCGGAACAACGGGCACAGGAACACCTGCTAGAAGGCAGAGGTTCATTGTGGGTCGCTGTCAGGGATGTTATTGCGGCCCTGACCTTCGTTCCGGACAAGAGAGGGTTTGCGGATGAATTCAGCTTTGCGCTTGGTGCTTACTGCAAAGGTGGGGCTGTTGGACTTTGCAAAAATACGCGCCGGCACGGCAACGTCTGTAGATTGCTGACTCGAGTTGTGCAAGCCGTGTCCCCTGGCATGACGTGGACGACCGTTACAGTCTGCCTCAACAATAGGGTATCGGTTCACACGGACAGATGGAACGACCCAGCGCCTAGCCTCATCATTGGGTTCTCTCACTTCGAGCGGGGTGAGCTCTGGGTGCAGCAGCCAGAAGGGGAGTGTCTCCTCAACAATGGCAATGATGTCCTGCGTGGTGAGCTCTACCCAGTGAGTGCATCTGCAGTGCTGTTTTGCGGTCAGGCGATGCCACACTCTAACATGCCGTGGCACTCCGGAGATCGCTTTGTAGTCATTGCGTACACAGCGGGCCATCATGCAAGCCTGTCCCCTTGCGATAAAAGCCTGCTCCTTGACTTTGGTTTTGCTGTTCCATAGATTTAGGGTAACGCTACCCGCTACCGGTGTGAGGGACACACGAGTTCACACTTGAACGCTGCGGCGTGGGGAGCCTGCAGCTGCCTAAAACAGTGCTTGCACCGGCGTGTGATGGTCATCGCTTGCCATCTCTGCATTGCATCCTTCAGCATGGTAAGTGCCCAACATCAGCCTTGACTCAGGTCCTTTCGATATGAGCGGTGGACGTAGGCCTGCGTTGCCATAACGTCTTGCCTGCACAGACCACGTTTGCATTCGTCTTGCGACTGTCAGTTGTTGTTGCAGGGAGTCTACCGACTCGAACATGGCGGCTGCGGCCGACTCTGCTATGTCAAGGGCGACCACTGTGGCGAATGCAGCGCCTTCTTCTCAGGCCCAACCTGCGGTGGGGATCACGGCTAGCCCGGCAGCTGGTGCCAACGCCAATGCCAACGCGGCGGGTGCCCTCTATGGAGTGGTGATCACGGTGGATGGACACTCCAGTGAGCCAATTTGGGTGCCCTGCTGCAATAACAATTGTCTTTTCAATTTTAGGGCTAACGGACATAGACATTGCTGCTCGGATTGCCGGTACTCGGATGCATTTCGCCACACCCGACGGTGTCTACATGAGCAGCGCATCTATGCTCGCCGAGAGCGCTTGGAACAGGAGCGCCAGGAAGCTGCGCAGGGGCCACAGGGAGTTTGCTGTACCAGGGAGTGTGGCAGGGTTACCTTTGGCACACACATCCATTGCTGCTCCACATGCCGGCAGACTGGTGGTCAGGTGCACACTCGTCGGTGCCACAGTCTCAACCCTCCTGCTATGGCTCCTGGATCTGTTCCGTTTGCGCCTATGCTTGCTACGACACCTTCCTCGTTTCCTTCGACTACTGGTGCCAATAGCGGCTCGGGATCCTCGACAGATGTTCCCTATGCGGCCCTTCGCTGGTGGAAGTGAACCAAGCAATCGAAGTGGAGGAAGTTGAGGCCGTCGTTGATCCTCTTGATGGAATGGACTGAATGTTTTCCACTGCGGCTATGAGTGTATAGATTTGTTCTAGGAGCCACCAATGGGTGGTGCGATGCACATTCGCCGGGCCGTACGTGCCTGTCCTCGCTGCGGATCTTGGACGATTCGGAACACCGAGTGAGTGAGTGAGTACTACTACTACTACTACTACTACTACTACTACTACTACTCCTACTACTACTTGCTACTACTACTACTGCTGCTACTACTACTACTACTCCTACTACTACTACTACTACTACTACTACTACTACTACTACTACTACTACTGTTTCCACTGCAACTGCCACTGCTACTGCAACTCCTACTACACTACTACTACTACTACTACTACTACTACTACTACTACTACTACTACTGCACCTAGTACTACTACTACTACTACTACTACTACTACTACTAATACTACTACTAAGGGTCTCGGCTGGAGCGAAAGGGAGCAGTTAGATCGGTTCATGACATGGCCTTGCGGAGTGCGCCTGTGGTGATTTCTTTCATTCTGCCTTTGTCTGATCTTACGGAGAATTTCCAGCTGTGCCGGTCCCAATTCCGGCAGCCATCGCTATCTATGCAAGCGCGACTTAGACCGAACGATGAGATGGCAGACCTGAGGGTTGGACGAATTACCGCAGATCGTCCAGTAGTCCTTGGAGCTCATGAAGCACCTCGGGCGAAACATTTCGGGGAAGGCAATCAAACTTCTACTACACCCCACTGGACAAAGACACGCGCTTTGCGCAGAGCCCGAAACAGGGCAAAGCAGAACAATGGAACGATGTGTCGTGGAAGATGGCACATCCCGGCTATGCTGGGAGTGACGACCGCAGACTCCGAGGCGACAGTCCGGGCCAGGAGAGAGAAGATGGTGCCACAAAGCCGGAACGGGGCGCGACGTTTACGCTTCATCTCTTACAACATAGGTGGGTTGGATCCTACGGCCTTTGACGTTTTTAAAGCTTGGCTCACAGAGCAGAAAATCACAGATGTGATGATAGTGCAGGAACTGCACTGGGGATGCGGACGTGAGGACACGCAATGGACAATGGACAATGGCTGGAAGGCTTTCATCTCAGCGGACCCAGGCAACCGCTGGGCTGGGGTGGGCATTTTCCTAGCCCCCTGGATAGCGCAACATGCCACCACATCAGCATGTACGTGGAGCCCAGGCAGAATCCTCCACGTACGCAGCGAGTCCGATAGACTGACTCTGGACGTTATTGGTTTTTATCAGCAAGTGAGACAGGCCAAGAAGGGTCAGGTCAACGAGAACCAGCGGCAGCAACACTGGGTCAAGTTTGGCAAACTGCTGCATGGCCTGCCGCGAAGGAATCTGCTGCTGGTTGGCATGGACGCCAACTCAGTATGTGAAAGCCTGCCAGGACTTGTTGGACGTGGGGTACTCAAGCAGCCCAATCGCCCTGCGGATAAGGAGTTCATGCAGCTCATTCGCGAACATGAGCTAGTAGTGTTAAACACCTGGGGTAGGGCTAATCTCAGTAGCTCATGTACGTATGTTAATGGTAGTGCACACACACACACAGATCGACTTCGCTTTAACCAGGCGTGTCACTGCGGATCAATCGTCGCGCGCTACCAAGCCAACGTTGCTGGATCTGGTGCCATGGCGACTCGGCCCCAAGCATCGACCGCCTAGGCAGCATACCGCACATAGCAGGCTGGGCAGTGCAGCGTCACACCAAGGTCCTTACCCCCAAGCTCTCAATCCCGTCATTGCGTGAGGCCTTCAGACGACAGGATGCACGGCTTTGGAATGAGCTGCAGCCGAAGATTAAAGCCATCGTAGATTCGCAGACCGAGGTCAGTTTGCAGACTATCGCAAGGGTTAATAAACTAGTGCTAGGCCTCTGCACTAGCTATTTTCCCAGGAAAGGCAATGGCAAGACCCCCAAACCCAAGCTAGCTGTTGAACAAGAACTCACCCAAGGCATTCATAGACTATGGGACCTGCATGCGAAGCTACGTGAGATGAAGGCGTCAGCCAGGGCCAGCAACTCGTTTGCTGAATGGCGGGCATTCGAGGCGCTGTCACAACAGTATCGCAAACTCAAGAACCAAAGTCGACAGTTGCGCAGACAGCGGCTCGAAAGACACATTGATGATGCACACCAAGCAGCTGAACGTCATGATATGAGTGAAGTCTATCGCATCATCAAGGTTCTCGCCCCCCGTAAGAAGCATACCCCCACCTCAATCCGATCGCCAGACGGGCACCTGCTGTCACAGCAGCAGCAGTTTGAGTCAATCCGAGACTACTTTAAGGAAGCCTACGAAAGGCACGATGACTTTGCCGCTGCGACATGCACAGAGGTGCTCTGCATCGATGAGGCAGAGGTATTCCAGGCCATAGGCAGCCTCAAGAACAATAAAGCAGTGCCAGTGAGTAGCTTGCCTGCAGAGATCTGGAAGCTCTGCCAGCCTGAGTTCGCCTCGCTGCTGCACAAGGTTCTGCATCAGGGAGTTCGCGAGGAGCACCGATATCCTAAGGAGATCTCCAATTGTAGCCTTGCGCTCCTGCCCAAACCGGGGCGACCCAGTAAAGAGCCAGGGGACCTCCGGCCCCTGGGGCTCCAAGACCCTTGTTCTAAGGTTTACGCCACGGTTCTTAGACATCGAATAGCTGCGCAAGCTCACGAACTCCTTGTCAGCCGGCCGCACTTCGCTTACAGCGCGGGCAGGTCGATAGACTCTGCCATAGCAAGGGTCTCTCAACACTGCAGCCAGGTGCGTGAACACCTGAAGAGGCATGTGGTTAGTGTCCACGACAAGAGATTAGGTAGGACGGCTCTTGGTTGTGTAGGAGGTGCCACGATAGGGTTGGACCTGTCAAGAGCTTTCGACAAGCTCCCGCGCTGGGCATTGCAGGCATCCTTGGAACATGCGTCAGTTGAGCCGGCCATCTGTCGTGCAGTGATTGACACCCACGAGCAATGCTCATACAGCATCAGGCACGGACAGTATGAGGGTTGCATTGACATGAGGCGGGGCATCCGCCAAGGCTGCTCCCTGTCCCCCAGCCTGTATACCATATTCACGATATGGTTCTTCGACCGACTCTCTGACATCACCTCGCCAGAGTGGGCCAACGCGTGCGTTACCCTTTTCGCCGATGATTCTCATCTTGCATGGCTCATTTCGTCGGTAGATGACCTGGAGTTCGTTTGTGTCTGTATCCGTCGCACCATACAGCTCTTTAGGTCTGTGGGAATGGATATCAACCCTTCTAAATCTAAGCTTGTTCTGCAAATCAAAGGCAGCACGGCCAAGAGATGGATACAGGCACACCAGCAACAGACGGCAGAAGGGCCAGTGATCAATGTTGGTTTGCCTCATGCGCCGCTCCATGTTCCCAGGGTCAAGCAGATGCTGTACCTAGGTATCCAAGCCTCATATCAAAACTTTGAGATGCAAACTTGCCAGCACAGGATGCAGATTGCGATGCAAAACAAGCATAGGCTTATCAAGATCCTACATGCTTCCAACCTTTCCCAAAAATACAGAGTTCGGTTGTACCTAGCATGTGTTCGCAGCTCGATGCTGTTCGGCCTACATGCAGTAGGGCTGACCGCGGCAGTGCTCTTTAAGCTAGAACATGCAGACGCCAGAGCGCTGAGAGCAATCACTAAATCTCCCAGCTTCCTTACCAGAGAAAGCACAGTGGCTCTTCGCAAGCGCATTGACGTCCTTTCACCGCGTGAGGCTCTGCGCAAACTACTGCAAGGTCGAATTAGTAAGTGCAAAGAAACGGATCAGGTCGCCTTCTTCTCGGAACAGCTTGCACAGGCGACGCAGTGCGGGGTAGAAGCAGAAAGCCCGGAACTGCTGCCGTGCCCAGAACGGGAGGGCGTGCCTTGTGACGTTTGTGGCCAATACTTCGTTGATAGGCGCATCATGCTCTCCCATCAGTCACGTAAGCACCCTGAGACCCGCACTGTAACTAGGCCCCTTACTGCTGAGCAATACGCAAGTCAGACAGTGGATGGCATGCCCTGCTGTGTGCATTGTGGCAAGACTTTCACACGGGTAGAAGGCCTCAAAAAGCACTTGAGGCGTAAATGTAAACAGAAGTCATGACGGGTGCAGCGGCACAGGGACCCGCCACCCGGAGGGAGCCGCCCAGGGACCGGACTCCCTCAATGACTTCCCCAGGCACAGTGGCTGGAGATGTAGAGCTAGGTGCTAATGCAGGGTACATAGGGGATACTAGGGTAGTGCAAGGCCTGATCCACGACCCCGCCTTTAGAAGAGCAGCCTTACAGTCCTGGAAAACGGTGCTCCGGGACGCTAGGATACGTCACCGACTGCAAAACTACTGTGTGCTGTGCGGCCAGTGGATCGTCATGAGAGGGCCAGGCATCAAGCAGCATGTGCGCCTCATGCACAAGGAAGCACATGCTGAGCACGCGGCAGAAGCGACTTCACGCTGCAGCGTCCTAGGACTCCAAGTAGCCTCGCCCTGCCTGTACTGCCAGCTGCCTTGCAAGGTTCCTAGGACGCACATACCCATATGCCCAGTAGTCTACCAAGCATCTTTGGCTGAGCTGGTGATCTCTAAGGATGGCCATGAACGAGGATGCACTGGCGTCGGCGGCGAGGACGGAGCTCAAGTGGGTGATGGGGAAGGAGGGATTACAGGGAATCCCGACGGAGGGCCAGGCAGCCACACAGGCGATGGAGGACTCAGCGGACAAGGAGAAGGATCAGCCGAAGTCCTCCTGGGAAAGAGGAGGCAAGTGGCCTCGAGTGGAAAACAAAGGCAAGGGACCCTCACACGGTGGTTGGGGCTCCGGATGGAGGGGAAACAAGAGACAGTGGGAGAAGGACGACGAGGAAGCGGAGGGGGTCACCCTCGACAAGGCGACCCAAGCGGTCCTGCAGTCTCTCGTGCAGCTGTCGTTGAGCCACGAAGCGGAGCTGGGACGACTGAGATCGGACTGCGGCTTCATGCTGTTCCTGGACACCCCCACGACCAACCCGGAGGCCGGCATCTTGCCAGGAGTCAAGAAGGTGGCTCAAGAATGGGCCACCCAGTATGCAGCGGGAAACGTAAAGAGCCCCCTGCGCACCCTGCTGATGATGGAGGTCATCAGGGAGCTACAGGGCCGCCTAACGGCCTTCCTAGCGGACGAGAACCGCTGCACCAAAGCCATGACGATCGGCTGGATGGCCGAGGGGCACCAAGCGATGGACCCAGTATGGACGTACTGGGGTTGGAACCCCAAGGAGAAGAAGCAGGAGAAGACGGACCAACACCCGATGCAGACCACAGCCATTCAGGCTCAGCTTGCTCTGCTAAGGAGGGGGTGCTGCTGAACTTCCGCTGCACCAAGGACCTGGATCAGGAATTCCAACCGGATCTGGAGGTGGTACCCTTCATGCTGACGATCGGTCTACGAGTGCAGGAGGCCCATGCTGTTCACCGGGCCTTCCAGCTCCTTTCAGGGAACGCAGTACGCAAGCTCATCGGAGCCCGGGTGAGACCGGAGAGGTTGGCACGCCAGCCGGTAGCCAAGCAGCTCGAGGAGAATTACTTGGCCACGCCGTACTGCCCATGGAGTCGACGCGCAGCCCGCTGAGATCGCCTCCTGGCCTGGGTCGGCCAGAGGAGGCAGCCGGGTCAGTGGGAGCCCGGCTACGTCTCAGTGGGGGGCCCAACAAGCCATCACTGCCAGTCGCCAAACTCCTTAACACCCGTAACTACTGCTATGCTAACTCGACGGCTCAGGCCCTTTACTGGATGGGTGCTATGTCCAGCAATCCTGAGGGCGCCTATGGAGGCGCAAGGGTCAGCCTCCAGATGCTCGCTAAGCCAGGTAAGCTGAATTTAGTTCACAGCATAGCGTGGTCCCATGCACTCATGAACTGGCCGCATCCATTACAGCAACACGACGCAGGCGAGTACGTCAATCATGTTTTGACACTCTTTCAGCCCAGTGCTTACCGAGGGGAATGGCAGGCGAGGCACCCCGAAGCGCCCCACCGCGTAAGCGACTCAGGTCAACTGACAGCTCCGCTGCTGATACACCTTACAGGAGACACGTTGCCGGATTTGATTGCGAGCTGGCATAACCAGTATGCAACACATGCCTTGCACTGGCACTCTGGACTGCTGCTGCTCAGACTAGTGCGCTATGGTTTTGACCAGGGTGAGGCCTATAAGAATCGTGCACCGGTGTATGTGCAACCAGGAGAAACGGTGGCGATGCCTGTGTATGAGGGGGCTGAGGGACTGAGTGTCCGCCACGAGGCCTTTCGAGTTGTGTTCCATTTCTTCCACATAGGGGAGAGGGTCGATTCGGGTCACTATCAGTGTGCCATTAGTGTTCCGGACAGTAACATGCAATCCCGGCAACGCTTCTACATCTGTAATGACAACACGACCCCTAAGCGAGCCACCCCCAGAGACCTTACCCAAGTAGCTACCAATAGCTACTTGATAGGCCTCATTCGTTCCAATTAGATAACAGCGTGGCCTGCCTGGCACAGTGCTGTACAGTTTGATGTAACATGGTTGCTGCTGGGTGTTGCATCCAAGCCAGGCAGGTCAAATCACAGCAGGGCTCTCAAGGCCGGCATCCGATGCGATGTTACACCCGGCGACGAGACGGGAGCCACCAAAAGGTTCTGCAAGCACAACTTTTCATCTTTGTCCGTATTGCACATCACCAGCTTGGCCGGACTCCATTGAGGGAAACGCCAGAGTTCTTTTTCACTTCGAGCAGGGAGTTAGCCCGATCCCAAGCGTCCGCGCCCTCAACAGGCAGTGAATCCATTCGACCGGCGCACACTGTAGCTGTCCTCTGGTCCAAGCCGCAGCCCATTCACGAGACTCGCTGCAATCGCTGCAACCGCAGATAGGTGCCGGGAGTGCGGGTTCAGGGTTCTAGGCTTCCCCTCCCCTCTAATTTCCCACAAGTAGCCTGTCAGTCTCTGCCGCAGCATGTATCACCCTGCTGCCGACTCTATGCAGTAGCATGCCCAGCATGGCTCAGATTCTGCCCTATCCGTATGACATATACACGGATGCGCTGGAAGAGTTTCTGCTGCTACACGCTGCAGCTAGCCTGCTAAGGGCGCAAGGAGACCTCCAAATCCCTTTGGACATGGGGCTGGCTGTCAGGAATGACATCATCGCATGGGCAATGCAAACCTTGGAGCCAGCTAATCAGGCTGCCTATATGGCCTATGTACAAGACCTGCCGCCATCTGCGCCGATATCTGCCTACGTATCTGCCTGAACCAATCGGCACACCCGGTCCGAGCAGCCCAGCGGCGGAGCACCTAGCATGGCATTTCCTGGCCGAGGGCAGCTCTACGCTCTGGGGTGCGGTGAGGCAGGCTGTAGCGCTGCTGGAGTGGCAGGCAGATAAACACTCTTTCAGTGGCAAGCAGCCGGCAAATGTGACTCTGGGAGCATGTGGCCATGGGCCGCACTGTGGAATCCGCAGTGGCACTGCACAGCATCCCTCTTTCTGTAGACTGGTGAATCGGTTCATTCAGCATCTATGTCCCAAACATGTCTGGACTACATTTGCGCTGAATCGAGACATGCGCACCCCACCGCATAGGGATCAGGGGAACGCACCCACAGGGAGCCTCCTCACCTGTCTGACACACAACGAAGGAGGTGAGCTATGGCTGGAAGAGGGGCACGGGTCGGATGCCGCTGCAGCCGACGATGTCCGCTGTGGGAGTATCATCCGGCTGTCGATGCAAAGCCTGCTTTTCCCTGCGCATAGCATGATGCACTGCACGTGTGACTGGACCATGACGAGACGGGTCACGCTTTCCGCTTTCTGCGTCGGCAAGGTTAAGCATCTGAAAGCAGCTGACGTGCAACTGCTTGAAGATTATGGTTTTTGCCCTTTCGACTGTAGCAGCGCCTCGAACTGAAGCATGAGTGCACGGGGTTGTACCGGTTCCTCTAATTGGGGTTAAGCCTTTTCCCTCCTCTCACGACAAGCTTCTAACCTAGGCGGCCGATGCAGTGCTAATCTCTTCCGCTTGCACCCCAGCATGAGTCGACATGGAACAAAAGGGTGTTGGCCAGCTGGAATGCACCCTGCAGCACGCTAGCACCTGCTTGATAGCCTGAACTGTAAGCCGGCAATCTTACGCAGCCTGACGCAGGTGCTATCATGGCGGCGATGATGGATCGTTTGAGTGGAAAAAATGCTGGGGCCTGGCAGCAAGTTTGTGCCGTGCCGGGGTGTGGTAGGGCTATACACACGGCAGGGCATTCCAAATGCTGCTCGGCATGTCCCACGGGCTTTCATACTCGGCGCTGCCAACATACTTATTGGGCGGAGGCTAGGCCGGGATTCAGCCGGTGCGCAACGGAGGGCTGCGCGCACCAGGCTGGCCCGGGACACATCAGCTGCTGCTCTTCATGCAAGCATTCAGGAGGGCAACTGCACACTGTACGCTGTGCTCAGAGGCAGGCGAGAGGGGTGCAGCGAGCACCTACCACTTTCCCTACCGGAGCACAGGGAGCTACAGGAGGTATTGCTTTGCAAATTACCGCGCAACCCGGAAGCAGCATGGATGGACACAATCAACAGAGTGACGCTGGACCAGCAAGAGGCTCAGACGCTGCAATGGCTACCATCACAAGTGGCAGTGAGCAGCAAAGCAGACCTTCGGAATCCAGCATGATCACTATCTCTCGCGAAAGGGATGGTGAACACCTGGATTTTGATATGCTGGACTGAACCGTCAGCTGCAGACCGGGCAAGTGAAGTCGGCAATTTTGTTGAGGCAACAGTGGACCAGCTCGGAGATATCTTGATGTGCAATCAGTTTTTATCGGTAGAAGTCATGCCAAAAGGATCCTCAATCGTAGGATGCAGCCATCTGAGCTGCCGGGCTATGCCTGCCTTTCGTCGAATCATCGGATCGGTGAGACGGTTGCAATGCAATAATACTACTACTATTACTACTACTACTACTACTACTACTACTACTACTGCTCCTACTCCTACTACTGCTACTACTACTACTACTACTACTACTACTACTACTACTACTACTACTACTACTACTAGTACTGCTACTGCTACTATTACTATCACTACGATTGCTACTACAACTAAGACCTAAGTGTCATTTC